CTAAAGACTAGACTACTTTAATAAAGAAAAAAAAAACTAAGAAGTTTACACTCTTTAAAAAAACTAATAAAGAATAGATTTATAATAAGCCCTAACTTATAAAAAAATTCTACATGCTTATAGCTAGTAAGTAAGAATAGAAGAATCTAATCTAAAAATATTATAAATCCCTAATGTTTAGACACCTAGAAATAGGCACCCTTTAGAAAAAGCTAAGGGCTGCTATTTTCTAATATATACTAAAGGTAAAGCAACTATGCATAGAGGTGCTTAAAGAGTGTAATGCCTGTAATAAAAACAACCTGCAGAGGCATAAGGCCTATAGGTACCTTTAACTAATTAAAGCTCTAAAGTTACTATAGATAATAATTATAATAGACTTTATTATAAGATTACCCCTATTTAAAGAGCTAGAAATAAATAGGATGTGCAACATAATTATAGTAGCCTTAGATAAAACTACTAAGTATCTATACACTTAGCCCTTAGAAAAAATAATAACAGCTAAAGAATTTATTTATAAATTAAAATAAAATATAATATTAGTATATAGATGCTTTAAGATTATTATCTTTAACTAAGATAAGCTATTTACTAGCAGTTTCTAGAAAGCAGTAATGTAGCACCTTAGCATAACACACAAGCTATTAACAGCCTACCACCTGCAAACAGACAGCTAGACTAAGAGAGTAAATGCAGAAGTAGAAAAATACCTAAGAAAGTACATTTCTTATACTTAAAATAATAAGGCAGTATAGCTTTTAATAGCACAGCTAGCTATTAACAACATAAAGTTAGCTATAATAAAGGAAACACTATATAAAGCTAATTTTAAGTATAACCTTTACTTTATATTACATAAGAACTAACTTATAGACTTATAAGAGTTAATAAATTAGCTAACAGACCTACGCTAGATACATAAAAGGTTAGCTATAGAAGCTAGATTTAGTAGAGAAATAATAGAGAAGTACATAAATAAATTATAACAGCTAGGACTAAAAATCCGCCCTAGAGACTATGTGTACCTTAATATAAAGAACCTTAAAATACCTAGACCTTTTAGAAAGTTAGCAGAAAAAAAAATAAAACCTTATAAAGTTTTATAAACTTAGTAAGATAACTATAAGCTTAAGCTTTCTCTACACATAAAAATCTACTTATAGTTCTACATCTCTAAACTAAAAAAAGCACTTAAAGAAATTCCCTTATTTATATAAAAATAAAAAGATAAAGAAACAGAATACAAAGTTAAGCGCATTATAGGTAATTAAAAAAACTAAAAGAAATTTTTAGTAAAATAGAAAAAGTAGCTTACTAGTAAAAACACATAAAAACTAGCTAAAAATTTGCAGAACACGCAGCTGCTAGTATAAAAGTACTTTTAGGCTTATCTAACAGAAACTAGCTAGGCAATAAGGCACTTATATTAAAAAGAACAGCTATGTTATTACTAGATAGCAGTAGCCTTTAGAGATAAGTCCTAGCTAATAAGGGTTAAGGAGAAGAATAGCCCTTTACTTTAGCTTTAAGAGCTTCTATCTTATCTAAAGAGAAGAGGTCCCTTTTTAAGTACTTTATATAATAAGCCTTTAATAAATTTAGGCAACTTTTAGATATAATTTTATCTAAAACACTTCTTATCTATCACCCCTAGCATTTTCTTCTGCAAATAAAGCTGTTTCTAGTTCTAAGCTTGCTGCTCTTCTAGTAGAAGGCGCTTATAAGCTAGCTACTTCTTTAGTAGGGCACGCTTCTAAGCCTTTATAATAAAGGCCTTTTAAAGAAGCGCCTCTCTCTTCTTCTTTAGGCAGTCCTAGGCAGCATTAAAGATAAAAGTGTTATACTTGCTGTGCTTTTTTACACACTTAATGCAGTTATCTAAGAACAGCATTAACACACATAATAACTTTAAGGACTAGTAAGCGCTGCAGGGCCTTATTTTTGTCTAGTAGAAAGGATTAAAGTAAAAAGTAACATAAGAATAATAAGATAAACAGGACTAATAAGCTATTTAGTATAGAAAGAATAGATGTTAAGAACGCTTTCTAGCAGGTAGACGCACCCTTTATAAATAAACCCTTACTAACATAGTTGTGTAAGCAGAGCGGCAAGAACGCTGCTAGGGAGAGGGGGCAGCGTGTTACAGTCTACAGTTGGACCAGCGTAACTCCACCAGTAGTGCTCTACAATCTAGCTAGATTAGGACAGGGCTTACTTACAGATTAATTAGAGGACACAGAAGCAGCACAGCTGCCTAAAATTATAGAAGAATGCGTTGTCTAATAGGGAGACAGGCCGCGAATTTAGGGAGCTTAAGGGAGCTTAAGGGAGCCTGCAGAAGTCTCCTTAGCAAGCTCCTATAAACTCCTGCTAGCTCCTCTTAGCGCCCTAGCACATATATATAGTTCCTACATTAAACAACCTTTAGAAGGTGTGTTTAATGTTTAGTTTATTTATTACATAGACTAAGTAGCATTTAGCTTTCTAAAGAGCTGTAATACTATTTGTATATTTTGCACTATATATACCTCTAACTCTATCTAATAAGGACTGTTTAACCCTAGCCTCCCTACTGCCGCACATAGGGCAAACCATAATCTAGTTATTCTCTATAAGCCTCTATTAGCCCAATAGCCTGTACGTAGGACTGTACACCCTACCGGATTAGCCCCTACCTCCCGTCCTATTCCCTCCCCCCCCCAGGAATATCATAAGACCCGAGTGCTTCTCGAAGCAAGGATTGTAACATAAGAGAGTTTAAATTTAAATAGATTATTTAGCTATATTATTTCTACTACTAGTTTTGCTTTACTTACTACTACCTATCTTAAGTAGGCTGCTAGCTATATAATATATTAGCTTAAACTAACAGAGATCCTTGTAGAGATAGCAAACAAGCCTATCTTTAAGCCTAAACTAGGTAACAGCAATAGTATACAGGTCACCTTTAACTCTGCTTATCTTACAGAGATCTTTTATAGTCTATAGCTCCTTAGTTACTACTTCTTACGCGTAGAAGTAAAGATCCTTTTTATTCTTTAGCTATTACTTAACTAACTACTTAAAAAAGGCCTTTACTGTTTTTTAAGTATCCTGTTTACTACCTTTTATTATAGGACTTAAAGAACAACTTAAAGATTAAAGCGCTGTTAAGGTAATAACTAGCAGAGCATGTAGCTGCTAGTAGTAAGAGAGTAGAGCAGCTTCTATAGAAGGGATACTAGCCTGCGCTTAAAGCTGTTAGAGATAAAGCTATTAAAACTTTTATTACTCTACTTAAGTAGCTTTCTTACTACTTATCCTTACTATTTAGTTAAGCAACTGCTGCTAGCTTATCTACTTTACTAGCTTCTTAAATAATAGCTTATTTAATAATAATAAGCCTAGCCTTTTTTTTTGTCCTTCTGCGTGTAAGAGTTTACCTAAAGCTTATTACTTTCTTACTGTAGCGCCCTAATAATCTTATAACTAGGTACTATAACAGAAGACTCTTCTATAACTATAGACCTTCTCTATGCCTTAAAGTTAACTAGTTTAATAGCATAGTAAGATTAGTCTAGGTAGATATAGCACCACTTCTTATAGTTATTGCAAAGCTCTGTCTAGCACTCCCACGTACACGCAATTGCTAAGTGGTAGTCTATTGCCTTAGATATCTTCTCTACTTACTCTGCTGCCCTAGCTTTATGTAGCAGCTGCTAGGTACAACAGCTGCTTAGTATTATTAGTGTAGTATCTAGATCTAACAATAGCTTATTAGCTAATTACCTGCGCAGAAATGCCCTTTATAAAGCCTTAACTTTAACATAGAGCTTTACTTTAAAATCTACCCTATTAATCCTCTTAGTAAAGCGCTTAACATAGTAATTAACTGCTTTAAGTAGGTAAGCGCCTTTTATAAAACTAAAGTTAGCTAAAGTAATGTGCTGCTAGGTAGATTTAGAGTGCTTAGCTTAATAGCTTACTAAGCAACTAAGCTAGGTAACCTTCTACCTGTTAATTATAAAAGATGCATTAGTAAGCACTAAGTCTACTTTGTCCTTTATAAACAACATAGAGAAGACTAGCTGCTAGTAGTTATTGCTGTTGTTAACTACCTAGTTCCTATTTACGCGCAGAATATACTTTATATCTATCTTATAGTTAGGCTCTTTAGGAGGTGGGGACAATTGCTGCTAAGGTAATAGTTAACACTCTAGCTCTACTACTAATAGTAGTAATAATAGTATCTTAATAGCAGCTGTTAAAGCAGCGGCGCGCTGCTTATCTATAAAGGTAACCTTCCTCCTTATCTGCTTATTTAATCTACTGGCTTTTTAACCTCTAGAAGGTGCTTTAGAGGCTGCTGCAGCGAGGGCTCTAGCTAACAGTTAACAGGTAGCACTAGTACTTAAACGCGTGGCTGCTCTAGCTATAGCTTTTTAGCTAGAAATTGTTTGCTAAGGGCTATTTTAAACTTTTAAAATTTAGCTTTATTATTTCCTAATTAGGAAGTACGCACAGCTTTAAGATCTAACTAAAATAACAGATATTTAGGCATAGATGGGGGCAAATTGTCGCTTTGTCAAAGTTCTCATAGATTTGGTGAGGCGGAAAAGACGCGACGCGAATGCCAAGACATTGCACGGATTAACGCACACAATAGATTTTTGAATACGATAGATCAACCGCGCTGTCGCTGGGCTGGGGCATTAATTCACTAGATAACCGCCCAAACTGACTCATCAGCTCCGAGCGCCAGTACGCCTCTTTCCCTGGCCCGCATTGTCTTACCTCGCATAGTTCTACTCAGTCCGGTCCTGGAGATTGATTGAGGCGAGGCTCTCTCACTGTGTGTGGCACAGAGTTGTCTTGGCCCCTTCCGAAAAGACGCTTGATCCTTTCTCTTGCTATATCTGCTACCATCCGTTCTTCTTCTGTTTCACTCACTCGCCCGGAACTCATTCTGATTTCACATCATAATTTCACGAAACCTTTTTGATAGAGCTATTTGCGCGATGTATAAAACCGACAACTCTGCTAATGTATCTAAATTAACATTCTCAGCTCTTTCAAGAGACCTCAAGCTTGAGATTTTCGATTTTGTTCGATCCAAATTTGACCAAGGCAATGCGCGTCGGGTCAGCCGGGTAATGGAGCCTCCGTGGTGGAATGTCTGTTGCACTTTGACATGCTGACCATTTTTGTTAGGAATGGAACCATCTCATGAGGCCCAGAATGTGGAGAGACTTCACGACGACTTTCCAAGGCACATTTGCAGAAGACTTTCAGAAGCTATCAGAAGAACGACAAGCTTGCTTCCAAGATATTCGTACACTAGCCGCGGGTGGGAACCACGTCAGACCCGATTACGATGCCCTATTCTCAAGCTTTATGCACCTATTGCGCGACGACCAATTGCTTGAGTTGGATAGCGCCAAAGAAACCCCCCTTGACTCAAAGCAGCTTCTAAGTCTGCTACGTCACCAGTCGAATCTTCGAACCTTTCGAGCGCGACTGGATTTTTCCGACATGGACATGCACGACGCAGGGCCTTGGATGGCTGAGCAGACTCCCTTGTTCAGTTCAGCACTAAGGTCGTTAAAGTCCCTCCGGATCTATATTGGAGAACAATCTGTCGCACGTGTCTCACGCGATATCATACCCATGTACTGCACTATTCACTCATTAGGCATAGCTCCT